TTGTGATTCTCGGGCCAAAGCAGTCCCTCTTTCCCATCCAGACAAGGCTCAAGAAAAATAACATTTTTTGCCACTTTTGAGCATTTTTAGGACTCAGGCACTGTGCTAAGTGCTTTAGATACACTTAATCCTTAAAACAAGCAAATAAGAGAAACCATGGTGGTCGATACTACTGTTATATACTTATCTCCACGTGAGAAGCCTTGGCTCAGAGAATAGTGAACTCGTCTAGGGTCACACACTAGGATTCAGACCCAGTCTGGCTTCATAGATCATCCTGCCTGCCTCCTGTGTCATCTTTGAAGTGGGAAAGAAAATGCAAATGTCTGTCTGAATGTTTTTTTTTTTTTGTTTTTTTTTTTTCCAAGTCCTCTTTTTCTTTTTTTTTTTTCATTTTTCTTTTATTATTCATATGTGCATACAAGGCTTGGTTCATTTCTCCCCCCTGCCCCCACCCCTCCCTTACCACCCACTCCCCCCCTCCCGCTCCCCCCTCAATACCCAGCAGAAACTATTTTGCCCTTATCTCTAATTTTGTTGTAGAGAGAGTATAAGCAATAATAGGAAGGAACAAGGGTTTTGCTGGTTGAGATAAGGATAGCTATACAGGGCATTGACTCACATTGATTTCCTGTGCGTGTGTGTTACCTTCTAGGTTAATTCTTTTTGATCTAACCTTTTCTCTAGTTCCTGGTCCCCTTTTCCTATTGGCCTCAGTTGCTTTAAGGTATCTGCTTTAGTTTCTCTCTGTTAAGGGCAACAAATGCTAGCTAGTTTTTTAGGTGTCTTACCTATCCTCACCCTCCCTTGTGTGCTCTCGCTTTTATCATGTGCTCATAGTCCAATCCCCTTGTTGTGTTTGCCCTTGATCTAATGTCCACATATGAGGGAGAACATACGATTTTGGTCTTTTGGCCAGGCTAACCTCACTCAGAATGATTTCTCCAATTCCATCCATTTACCAGCGAATGATAACATTTCGTTCTTCTTCATGGCTGCATAAAATTCCATTGTGTATAGATACCACATTTTCTTAATCCATTCGTCAGTGCTGGGACATCTTGGCCAAGTCCTCTTTTTCTAAGAGGAAAGATAAAAGAAAAACAAACCAAGCCACTCTCAGAAGTGTTGTGTTCTCTCTTGTCACCCTCCCCAAGAGGTGCTGGAAATGACAGGACTTGTGTGAATGCTGGAGTGTTCACTTTATTGGGAAGCATCCAGCTCTCTTATTAGCTTAGAAAGTGATGATTTTTTTTTTTTGAGCTGCACAGAAGCAGGGTCTATCCAGTTATATGTCCTGTTTTGCCTGTAGCAATGGGTAAGGGTAGGAGTGAGTCCAGGATTTGAGAGCCCAGGGGTTGGTATAGCTTTACTGACATTCCCCCCTCCTTTACACACACACACACGCACACATACACACACTCTTCCTCTGCAGCAAGGCATTTTAGGGAATCTAAGCACATCTTCTGGGCCTCTGCCTGCTCTGGTCTTTCAACTTCAGGACCACCTGCTTGTTTGCCAGTGGCACTCCTTGGCAAGGACACTGGCTGTGTTCACTGTTCTTGCCCCAGACAGAGAAGGAATAGTTAGTCTGTCTGTGCACTCAGGCCCACCAACTCCCAGTCAAGGCAGGAGTGGAGGGGACCTGAAGGAGCCCTTGATGGTAGACAGTGGGGTCCCCTGCTTCTCTTCCTTTTTGCCTAACACCCCTTCCTCAAAGTACATTTGCAAGTGGCCTCTTGTCTTTGGTTGGTTGGAAGTTTTTCCCCATCTTGTGGCCAAGTCTGCTTCTCCTTCAGAGCGAGAAGGACATGATGAAGAGCGGAGACCTTGCATGTATTTTGGAATCTGGGCTACTTCTGAAGGACAAGCCCTGGCCTGCCTGAATGAGTGGTCCAGTATTTCACAACATGGCTAGGTCAGCACCTGTTGGGGCTGGGACTGTGAACACTTCAGAGGCTGCCTGGAGCCCTGGAGCTGGCCAAAACCAGTGGATTGCCAAGAAGACCCAAGTGGAGAGGACACCAGACCTTCTTGGATTTGGGGAAGGGCCCATGGAACTGGGTGTCTGATTCCAGCCTCCATATGCAGGAAGGAACCTGAAGCAGGCTAGCAGCATTTACTGCTGGTTCTAATTTGGGGTTCACAGCAGGAGGTTTGTGGGGGGAGTTGGGATTTAACACCTTACGGGCTGGGAAGCTGCAGTCCATGAGGGGTGGGCCTGTGTAGAAGCCTTCTTTTTTTGTCTCTGACACCCAGCGTAGCACTTTCCATAGTCAGCAGCAGATGTACAGATGGGGTGATGAAGTGTGAGGTGTGCAGGAAGAAGGAGGGTAAGGGGGAATGCCAAGATTCTGCAGAGGAAGAATAGTTCTGCTCCTTCATAATGGAGGTCAGGGAGCGCCTAAGACAGTTTAAATATAACTGCCAACACCCAGCACTGGGACTAGACATATTCAAGTTCAAATCCCTGCTGTGCTACCAACACAGCAGCTGCCCTTTACTGATTTTTCTGCTATGGACTTTCTGTGCACAATCTATCTGAAGCCTCACAAACATCTGACATAGTGTCATTTCACTGACATTCACTCAGGTTAACTGAGGTTCTGAGAGGCGAAGTAATGTGTGCAAAGGCTACATGGCAAGCGAAGGTAAAGCCAAGCTTCAAGCCAAGGGCAGTGAGACGATGAGGTTTCTATCCTAGACTTTGTAATTTGGACCATGATCACAAGAGTATTCTGAATTATTGGCTACCTGAAGCTTGGGCAGATCTCTTAATTTCTCCATCCTTAGTGCTCTTTCTTATGGAATTAAATGAAATAACCTTTGTAAGCTTTTTACCAAATGTCTGAGAATATCACCATTCACTCATTCAAAAACATTTATTGAGTGTCCCGTTATATGCCAGATATAATTCTATGTGTACATGCTAGAAAAGGTCCCAGCTATACCAAAGGCAGTAAGAAATAAGTTCAAACAATTTTCAACTAGTGAGTGTATCAGGAAGAAAACAAAACAGTCAGGATGCTGACTGTAGAATAGTGGACCCATGTCACTTGATGGTCAAGAAAGACCTCTTTGCAGAAGTGACAATTGAGCTTAATTCCCAAGGAAGGGGGGTGTGGAAGAAGATAAGCCTTCTAGGTCAAGGGAAGAGCAAGTTCAAGCCCTGGCATTGGGACCAGAAAGAAGTTTGGCATGGATGGAGCAGAGTGAACAAGTGGATGAGTGGGAACAAGATTGGGTTGAGGACAGGTCTGGGGAGTCAGTGAGGCAAGGCTATGTTTGTACTGGGGACAGTCTTTGGAGGGTTTGAATCAAGAGGCAGATACCATCTGATTTATTTATTTGAAATAATAAATAAACACAGATTTGGGCTGCTGTGTGGAGAATCCAGTGGTTTCAAGGGTGGAGGCAAGAGACTAGGGAGGAAGCCAGAATAATAGGGAGAGATGGTGAACTGACTGGACAAAAGCCCCAGTTACACAGTACCCCCATGGGTGGAGCAGTGCAAGAGCACACATCTGAGTGAAGAGTAATTGTGCAACCTACCAGTAGTTCCCACCAAATCCAGGGTCTCAGGCTAACATCTTTTCAAAGGTAGAATGTGGGCCCCTTTCCTAACACTGTAGACATATTTCCTCAGTCATCTTGCCATGGGCAGAATCCATGATATTAATAGTTTCCGTTTTGGCTATGGAATTTTATAGTTTTTTGGGATTTCATGGAATTTAAGTGCTTATCCAGAGTTTATGATGTCAGTAATGGATTTCTCTATAGAACTGGGGAGGTAAGCTTTTCTGTGAATGTCCTAGGTAGCAAATACTTTCATTGGTGAGGATCCAACGACTTCTTGGCTGCAGTTCCAAAGTCTGCTGTTAGTAGCCACAGACAATACATAAATGAGTGGGTGTGACTGTGAGCCAGCAAAACTTTTGTTTTTAATACAGGTTCTAGTTATGTAATCCAGGCTGATTAGAACCTAATCCCTCTGCCTTTGCCTTTCGAGTGCTAGGATGATAGGTGTTTGCCTCCTCAACCAGCCCAATAAAATCATATTTACCAAAGGCAGTAAGCTCAGTTTGCCTATTGGATCATAGTTTGCCAACCCCAGGTAAGGAATATTGTATTTATGTGACCCAATTTTTTTACCAAAAATCACTTCAAGACATTTTTCCTAAAATGTTTGGCAAAAATGAGTACATATTCACATTAGAAAATATGATATAAATTAAAGACTACTCTGACCAATGGTTTCAAATCTTAGAGATCCCACTGGAGATGCTAGGGAACCAGGGAGAGTGGAGGTGTAGGGTGTAGGGCCCTTCATTCTGCTCCAACCAGGAGTGCCTCTTTGATCTATGTTTTCCATTTTATTTTATTTGTTTTAGGTGGCAGTCTTCATAAGAGTTTGAACACAGGACTTGGGGCAAGAAAAAATTGAAAACCATTAATCTAGTTCAACTGGTTGGAGACCATTTCTCCCTTCTGGTGCCATGCACTAAAAGGCACTTGTTATATAATGGCCATGTAACAAATACATCATCGGAACAGATTAACACACACATATTTAATTGGATGGGTGGAGAGAGAAGAACTGTGGAGAGAGTCTACTCTTCTGAGCCTTTCAAAGTAGAGGCTGTCATAGGGAACTTTAGAGAAGCAGGGTGACATAGTGGCTTTGATTTTATGTCGGACACAGTTAGGTATGAGACTCGTATAACTAGACAGGTTATTTATTTGACTCTCTGATTATGTGTTTTCCAAGGTGCAAAACTGGAATGGTAGCCACTCCTTCCCAAGCTATTGGGTGGACGAATGAATTAATTTATGCAAATTGACTAACACATTGCCAGTTGCTCAAGAAATATCAATTTTCTCTGTCTTTCTTCCTTGCTTCTGTTCTTGGAGGTGTGGCATGAGCTCAAAGGCTCTTTGAGACCTCCTTCCATCTCTTTTGTGTTGACCCCACTCTCCATGTCCTGATCTTTTCTTCTCAGGATGTGGTCAGGTTCTTCGAGCCCCAAAGGGTCAAATTTTGTTGGAGAGCTACCCCTTAAATGCTCACTGCGAATGGACCATTCATGCCAAACCTGGATTTAGCATCCAGCTGAGGTAAGGAGCTGGGGTTAGCATTATGGGGTGTGAGGTTATAAAGAAATCATGGTGGAATACGGGCCCTGGATCCTGCTGACCAAGGGAGAAACATTAACACTTTATTCCTCACTCCTATGAGTTTTTCTTTCTGGGAAAATGTCTCATTTTCCTTTCTAGGGAAGCAGAGTGGCTCCATCATACCTAGAATTCAAGGGACATTGCTTTGTCTATCCAGTGGTGAGGGCAGAGGTGGTTGAAATCCTTGACCATGTAGGGTCAGTAAATATTTTCTGGGTGGATCATTGCACCTCACAGTTGCCATGCACCAGCTGGCTTCTTGGATGGCTTTCTGTCTTTCAGGAGGAGCAATGTGGTACCCCAAATTGGAAGGGCCCAGAAAACAGGTCCCCTTCTCAATCTGCCTCAAACAACACTGGCACCTGAGTGTTCCTGCACCCTGAGGACTAAGGTGGGAGTGAGGCTCAGTAATGGGCTTCCCTAGAGGAAGGATGTCTCAGGGAGCAAAGGAAGGGCCATACTCTTCTGTTTAATGGGCTTAGGGCTGGGTCAGCCAGGAATGAGAAGGCAGTAGCTCAGGGACCAGGACAAATTGTCCCTTCGGAGCCTTTAGGAAGCTTCCCAAAGGTCTAGGATGCAGAAAGAAATGCTCTCCCCTCAAAAAAAAATAAAACAGTATAAAATTGAGAAACAAATGACCTGCCTGGGAAAGGGCCCTAGAGAAGATGGAAATATGGGATTTTTGTCCACCTATTTGGACCTCCTGGCTGGGGAGAACAGTCACAATGGAAACACTGGGATGCATAACAGTGTTCAGCCCAAAAGCTCAACAGGCATCCTGATGCCCCCTTCCCATCACCCATATCCAGGTTCCTACAAATCTATTTTCTTCCCTGTAAAATAATCTCAAGGCCACTTGCCTCCCTCCATACCCACTGCCACTATTCTACTGCAAACCACCACCATTTCTTACTAGGATGCTGTCCTGGCTTTTAACCGGCTTCCTGCATCTCCTTTTGCCAGCTTTGTAATTTCCTCCCTGCAGAGTGGTCCTTTAGAATTCCAAATCCAATCATGATCCTCTTGTGGATCCAGTGCCTTCCATTTGGGCTTGAAATAAAACTCAAACTTTTGCTATGTGGGATCTGGCTCTGGCCTTTCTCAGTTCCTCTACATGCCAAGCTCATTACTGACCCAGAACTTTTGCATTTACAGATTTCCCTGCCTGGACCACTCAGACCCGTGATCTTCGCAGGTCTGGATTCATTGCATTATTTAAATCTCTTGCCCAGACATCAGGCCTTCAGAGAGGCCAACACATCATGTTGGAAACTTACCCTCCCTGCTCATTTTATGCTCTTATCTTGTTAATTTTATTCATAGCACTTTGGCACTCTCTGGAATTACCTTGTCTTTTGGTCTCTGCTTATGATCTGCCTTCTAACTCAGAGTTCAATTCTTTCTTTTTCCTCTCTTATCCCCTATTATTCTTTCTTATCCCTCTTTCCTCCTCCTTTATTAAATAATTTTTAGTGGGTTTTCATTATGATATATATATATAATGATATACAGATATATGATATGATTTTGATACATATGATTACTTCAATCGTATTTACTCCCCCAGCACACTCTTCATTCCTCCTCTCCCCAAACAGTCCCCCCTTTACAAGCATGTCATTATTATTGTTATTTTTTAGGTTTAGATTCCACATATGAGAGAGAACATGTGATACTTTGTCTTTCTGAGCTTGCCTTAATCTCATTCAAGATGATAATCTCCAGTTGCATTCATTTTTCCTGCAAATGGCATAATTTCATTCTTCTTTATGGCTGAATAATACTCCATTGTGTATATGTATCACATTTTCCTTATTCATTCATTGCTTTTTGGGCACCTAGGCTGCTTCCACAGCTTAGCTGTTGTGAACAGTGCTATAAGAAACATGGGTGTGCAGGTATCTCTGTTGTATGTTTACTTACATTGCTTCAGATACCTGCCCCAAAGTAGTATAGCTGGATCTTATGGTAGGTTTATTTCTAATTTCTTGAGGATCCTCCATTCAGCCATAGTGGCTGTACTAATTTACATTCACTAATTTACATATTAAGACTGCATCTTTATCAGCATTTTTGGTTTGTGTTCTTGATGGTAGCCATTCTGACTGGGGTGAGATAGAATCTCAATGTGGTTTTCATTTGCGTTTCTTTTATAGTTAAGGATGTTTAGCATATCTTCATGTATTTCCCATTTGTACTTCTTCTTTTGAGAAGTGTCCATTTCCTTTGCCCATTTATTAACAGGATGATTTGTTCTTTTGGTGTTTAATTTTTGAGCTCCTTGTCTATTCTGGATATTAATTCTATATCCAATGAATACCTTGCAAAGCTATTTTTCTCAAGATTGTCTCTTCATTCTGACAATTGTTTCTTTTGATCTGAAGAAACTTTTTAATTTGATGTAGTCCCATGTGGCAATCCTTGCTCTTATTTCCTGAGTTACTAGAATCCTATTGGAAAGTCATTGCCTATGCCTGTATCCTCAAGTGTTTTTCTCATAGTAATTTTAAAGTTTGAGGTCTCATACTAAGATTTTTGATCCATTTTTGAATTGATTTTTTTTGTATAAAGTGAGAGATAGAGTCCAGTTTCAGTCTTCTATATGTGCATATCCAGTTTTCCCAGCACAATTTTTTGAAGATGTTGTCTTTTCTCCAACTTGTGTTTTTGGCTCATTTATCTAAAATCAGATGGCTGTAGCTGTGTGGGTTTACTTCTGGGTCCTCCATTCTATTCCATTGGTCTATATGTCTGTTTTTGTGTCAGTGCCATGCTGTCTTTTGTTATTATGGCTGGGTAGTACAACTTGAAGTCAGGAATTGTGATGTCTCCAGCATTACTTATTTTGTTCAGAATTGCTTTGGCTATTTGTGGTCTTTTATGCTTCCATATAATTTCAGGATTGATTTTTCTGTTTCTATGAAGAAAGATATGGGGATTTTCATGGGGGATTACGCTGAATCTGTAGGTTTCTTTCTGTAGTATAGCCATTTTGACAATATTAATTCTGCCAATCCATAAATATGGGAGGTCTTTCCATCTTCTAGTGTCTTCTTCAATTTCTTTCTTCAGTGTTTTGTAGTTTCATTGTAAAGGTCCTTCATCTCCTTGTTAAGTTTATTCGTAGGTATCTGATTTTATTTTGGGGGACTACCATGAATGGGATTGTTTTCCTCATTTCTTTCTCTGTGTGTTCATTGTTGGTATATAGAACATCTACTGATTTTTGCATGTTGATTTTATATCCTTTTACTTTGTTTAAAGTGCTTATCAGATCTAAGAATTTTTTGGTAGTGTCTTTAGGGTCTTTTAGGTATAGGATCATATCATCAGCAAATAGGAATACTTTAATTTTTTCCTTTCCTAATTGTGTCCCTTTTTTTTTCTTCCTCTTGCTTAATTGCTCAGGCTACAAATTTGAGTACTATATTAAATAAGAGTAGAGAGAGTGGAGACCCTTGTCTTCTTCCTGACTTCAGAGGAAATGGTTTCAGTTTTTTCCTCCATTTATTGCAATGTTGGCTATGAGTTTGTTGTATACAGCCTTTATTATGTTAAGGTACATTCCTTCTAGTCCTAGCTTCTTCAGAGCTTTTATCATGAAAGGATGTTGATTTTGTCAAAGGCTTTTTCTATAGATATTGAGATGATCATGTGATTTTTGGCTTTTTTGTATTTATTTGTTGTACTATGCTTATTGATTTGTGGATGTTGAACCAGCATTGCATCCTTGGGATTAAACCAATTTAATCATGGTATATGATCTTTTTAATGTGTTGGATTTGGTTTGCAGGTATTTTATTGAGAATTTTTGTGTTTGTGTTCATTAAGGAAATTGGTTAATAATTTTCTTTTTGTTGTGTCTTTTTCCAGTCTTGGTACCAGGCTTTATAGAATGACATTCCTTACCTTTCTACTTTATGGAACAGTTTGAGGAGATTTGGTGTTAGTTCTTCCTTAAAGATCTGGTAGAATTCAGCGGTGAGTCCATCCAGTCCTGGGCTGTTTTTTTCTTTTAAATTGTTTATACAATTTATTGTGTTTTTATGTCAGGAAAATACTTATCATTTTTATGTAGTTTACATTTCTATTTAAAGTCTTACAACCATTTGGTGAGATGGACAGATGTCCGGGACAGGGGAAATTCCCTTTAAAAATGGATGTTTGGCTGTGCAAATTCTGTTTCCCTCCTTTTCCCTTCCTTTTACTTTTTATTTGGTTATTTTTTAAATTCATTTATTCATATATGCATACATTGTTTGGGCCATTTCTCCCCTGCCCCCTTCCTCCTCCCTCTCCCTCCTTATCCCTCGCTTCCAGGCAGACCCTGTTCTGCCCTTTTCTCCAATTTTGTTGAAGAGTAGACATAAGCAATAATAAGAAAGACATAGCATTTTTGCTAGTTGAGATAAGGATAGCTATACAGAGAGATTCCTAGCATTGCTTCTATGTACAAGTGTATTACAACCTGAATCGAACTAAATAGAACTTTCTCAAAAGAAGATATTCAAATGGCCAAAAAACACATGAAAAAATGCTCACCATCTCTGGTCATAAAGGAAATGATATCTTCACTACTTTTTGGTCACCTTCCCAAATTGACCTCTGTCATTTTAAGGTTACTGTATTAGCTCCTCTGCTAACACTTTCAAGTTTTGGGTTTCCTACCTATCCCCATTTCTCCCATATGTGCTCTCCCCTTAGCATGTGACCCAAGTCCAACAACACTGCTGCATTTGCCCTTGATCTAAAGTCTGCATATGAGGGAGAACATATGATTTTTGGTCTTCTGAGCCTGGCTAACCTCGCTCAGGATGATGTTCTCCAGTTCCATCCATTTACTTGCAAATAATAAGATTTCATTCTTCATGGCTGAGTAAAACGCCATTGTGTATAAATACCACATTTTCTTAATCCATTCGTCAGTGGTGGGGCATCTT